AACATATAATAAAAAGATCATGAATTAATAAAACCATTTTTTTTATGAATTTACGAGTTAACATTTTTATTTTTCGATGATTCGTTTGCGAGATACAGCTCCTCAAAGTATTGGTGGTTGAAAGTCGGTACCGCTGGAAAATGTTCATTTGTAAAGCCCAGAAGCTATAACTGATAAATTCGATACCGTTCGACCAAACTACCTACGGTACCTAACATTAAACATATTGACAATTGTTGTACTTTGAACCTGATTAATTGAATGTACATTACACCTATATGCTAATTTGACCAATGCTACGTTTTGTTGACAATTACTTGACATAGGCAAGAAATTCGTTTGCCCAAACCGGTGTATATTTCCCCTTAAAATTGAAACCGGTGTGAATTTTAGAAATTCGTTCTACAAACCGGTGGAACTATTTTATGAAAGCGGTTTCATTTTTCTGAACCATATCGATGATATGGTTAGTTATACCGATGCCGATGCCCACCCCTTATTCAAACGTCTTATCACTGATAACAAGTTGAAAAATGAAAATATAAAATAAATAATAATACAAATTTAATAATACAATTTTCTATTTCAACAAATTAATGTACAACGTACAACTTGTAAGTTACAAGGTCTCGCATGTTCTAGCTGTTTGAATTAAAAATATAATTATAATTTATAATCAATATTCAGTATTCACCAGTCACCTGAGATGGCTCAATGGCAGATGTCTGAAACAAATATGGACAGTTACCGTAAAATGGGGTGACTCCGGACAGATTTGAACGTTTTTTCAAAAATTAACCTCAATATATTGTTTCTAAAATTATGAAAAAAATATGCAATATTCTTTAGGTATGTTGAAATCATGTAGGAGAAGAATAATCATAAAAGTCTTTAAAGTTCACACTTTTTTTAAAAGTTGAAAACTGTCCGGAGTCACCCGCAAAATGGGGTGACTTCGGACACGTATTAAATTTCATTAAAAACCGATGTTAAAATTACAATGGTTGACTTCGGACAGTATAGATATTTTTAAAAAAAACGTAACGAATTAAACAAAAAAAAAAACATAACTTTATCATAAATACTACGTATTTTATTCAATATTTTGAAAAACTTCACATAAAATAAATTTTTACTTTTATAAAAATATCAACAAATGTTATATTAGGTAGGTATGTAAATTATAAATTCATTTTATTTTTTCAATAAAAATTAGTTGTATCAATATTGTCAAAAATAAAACGTCCTCGTTTCATTATTTTACTGGGCACTAATTTTCGTTTTTTTGTATGATCTGGGCATCGTAATTTTCCTGTCCGGAGTCACCCCGCGTTTTGAAAAAATTTAAAGAATGTAGCACTACAATGTATGAATAAATAAATAAACTATTTTAACATACGTAAATTATAGCTGATAAGTTTGCGAGCCGATTGCCGAAAACCGCAATCAAATATGTTTATTTGTTGTTGTTCTACAGATGTTATCAGTTCGATAATTTTTAAATCTAAAAATAGATCATCTTGTATTTACCTCTATAACATATGGTATGATAATATTATGTTACCAATAAATATTATTTTCTATGGAGGATATAATAGATATGAACATGGAGTATCAGTTTTCAACTTTTACCAAACTTGTAATCCAAAATGATAAGAAAACTACAAAAATATGGTTTTGTCCGAAGTCACCCCGCATGTCCGAAGTCACCCCATTTTACGGTATATTGAAGGTAAATTTATAATTTATAATAGGTATTTACTGTTTATTGCCTTTTTGGAACTGACATTTGCCAAAGCTTTGAATCATAATATAAACTACACTTATAGAAATGTATGAAGATGAACCTATATTAACCCAGAGAGAAATTATTCAACAAATGTATTCAGAAATTCCCGATGAAGTAAATCATGACATTAGCGTCGAAGAAGATAAAGGTAAATACCCTACCTATGTAACAATATATATATGTTTAAAAAAACTTATTTATGTGCATTATGTTTTAATTGATATTCTGACATTTGACACAAAACACTTTTATTGATACTTGCGATACTGGATATTCCTCACTGATCAATAGAAAAATTGAAATAAAATACTTAAATTGTCTTAATTGTATTTAATTTATTTTTATAGACAGAACATGGTCAGTAGAATCAACCAAGTTTCTTATAACATTGCGTGTCTCCTATAGTTCTCAATTTTTATCAGCAAAAAAAAAAGGTAAAAAATCTAAACTCTGGGAGCTAATTTCAAATGAAATGGCTGAAAAGGGGTATTCGTTTTCGCCTAAAGTTTGTGATGAGAAATGGCGTAGACTATCTACACAACATAGAAAATATTATGACTTATCAAAAAAATCAGGCAACAATGCAATCAAATGGCAGTATTATAAATTAATGGACGAAGCAATCATACCTTTAGGAAAAAAACAATCCATATCTCCTCCCAAAGGTAAATTATTTTTTTTATAGATTGTGAGTAGTCCTGTACAGTCGAGGGATAAATACCCGACAGAAAGTTTGTACACCAGATTACTAATTTCAATGATTATACCTATGATTACCTATGATTACCATCACCTTATGTACACTGATTACCCCCAAGGTGTTTACCCCTCGTGTACAGTGTACAATTAGGGTTCTAAAATGTCATGAAATATTTCATGAAACTTTCATAAAATATTTCATTTTTATGAAAAATAATAAAAAAATCATTTTAATTTAAAACTAGAGTAGAAATGTTATTGAAATATTTCTTACATACCTAGTACAGTATACAAATTACATAATTTTCATATAAACATACTTAAAAAAGTTTCAAAACACATGAATTAGGTACCTATAACAATTTCTTAATTTGTGTTTATTTAATATTTTATAATTACTAATTAGATATAGTTATAACCAGAGTCCCTATTATAAGTATCTATGAGTTAAAATCTTATATAATAATCCTATTTGAATTCAAATAAAAAAAAAATTTAATTTATAATTTACAGCCTATAGAGCTAATATAATATATTATTATCATATTTGTATATTAATATATTAGGAATATAATAATATTATATAATATATAATATTACTATTGGCAATTATCATTTTAATTTATAAACATCAAAGAAAAACAAATCATATTTTGAAACAAAATTATGTTTATTTATTTAAGTAGATAACAATTAACAATACACATCTTATACTTCAGTGTTAAAGATCATTTATAAAACAAAATAAAATAGTTAATACATTTAGTTTAACATTAATCATTAACTAATAAAAATAAAATGAATTAATACTTTTATTAATGTTTGCAGACTTGCAATAAATCTTTAAAAATGAAAAACAGAAATTAAATGCCTCTCTTTGGCCCCTGTGCATAGTTGAGATTAAAGATATAAATTTTAATTAAAATATCTCTATTTATTTACTGACTTTTATAGTGTGACTAGATAACAGATCACAATAGGGACTAAAATTAATTTATATAGTTAAAATTAAATTTAAAATATAATAATGCTTCAATCAAAAGTTTTAGACTTGCAACAAATTTCTAAAATTATAATCAAAAGTAAAATGCCTCTCTTTGGCCACTGTGTATGGTTTAAAGTAGATATATATATATATATAGAATTATATATATAAATCAGTGTGACCATCTAGTGATGATTTTATCAAACACACCAAAAACACAAAAATAAAAAAAAATTAAAATAATATATTTTTCAATATTTCAAGAAGGCTAAAAGTTTCAATTTTGAAATATTTCAAAGTGAAAATTTCATGTGAAATATTTCATACTCATAACTCTATGTATAATATAGAATCCAGGCAATTTTACTAGTGGGGGTTACTAGTTATTAAATATTTCTGATGCACAACATAAAAGTTTATTAGCTGTAGATTTATTATTATATGTAGATATCTAACTGTTTGTTGCAATTTACCTTTCTTTACCAATGCTTTTTTTTTATAATTAATAAATGGTGTTTTAACAAGTCACTGGTCCTGTATTGTGTGAATAAACTAATTCTAACTTTTTGTATTGATCGTATAGTTTTCAATACTGTGATTTATATTTTTAGAATTACTGAATGAGTCATCTCAGCCATCTTACAGTGAGCCTTGTAGTTCTAATTCTACATCCACAACAATGACTTCAAATATCATTTTAAATCCACCTTCACTTACAATTCCAACACCGTCACAATCAACAATATCACCAACGTTGACACCAAATTATTCTTGTTCTACATTTAAAGCCAAGACGCCATCATGGTTTGAAAAATACGAAAATATGAAAAAAGATCAAATCAATACACAAAGTATTGAACTAAACAAAAGGTGAGTTAAAAAATATTTATTTATTTAAACAATTGTTGACATAAAAATTGATATCATTCAGACTTGATAAATTGGAGAAAAGAGAACATGAAATGTTAGAAGTTCAAAAGCAACTTGTTGACAAATTAAACACAGCCAATGACATTGAAATTCAAAAGTTGGACATGTTTAAAAAAATGTTTAAGATTGATTGATGAAATAGTAATTAATAGCATAGGCTCTGTTGTATTTTTAATTGTAATAAAAGTAACTAACTATGTTTAACACACAATTATAATAATGAAGTAGATTTGTTTGTTATTTATGTATAATTTTAGTTTGAACAGAATATTATATAATTTTTTATTATTTTTATTTTTTATTTCATACCTAAGTTTAAGAAAGCTTAAGTGAACTAAAGGAAACAATGTGATATTATTATAATGAAGTCAATAATTTATGTTTGTTATTTATTATTTAAATTAGTTAAATAATTTTGTTTTATATTAAAGTTTAACTATTCAAAAGGAAATTGAAATTTTATATATATATATATATATATATTATGTGTAATAAAGTCAAAACAATAATATGTACTCGTATATTTGACATTTTGTTTATTTACAATATCTGCTAAAAATATTCAATAGTGAAAATAGAAAAGTAATAAATATATATTTAAATGTGATCTTGTAGTAGCAATGCATTGCAAATTGTATTACGCTTTAATACTCCGCTTCTAGTCCCATCTTCATGTAGATCACCTCCTATCTCTATTTCAGACACATATGGATCGGCATCAAAGTCATCTCCAGTTGTCATACAAATATTGTGTAGACAACATGCAGCGGTGATAATCTTAGCACAGTACGATTTATGGTATACATCCATATGTCTATATTAATTAATAAAATGCTTAGAATTAATGATATGCTAGAAAAAAAACAAATTTCTTAATGACTAATGTATTTTAATTTTCGAAATCTTCCAATAAGTTTTCCAAAAGCTTGTTCGACAACCACACGTGAACTGCTTAAAATCTTATTAAAATTCTTTTGATTTTGTGTTAGGTGACCGTTATCCTTATATGGCACCATAATTTTTTCGGTTAATGGATATGCTCCATCGCCTAAAATATGGCAATTGGGGGGGAGTATAGAGCCATGATTTTCTAAAATATTTTGCCCTATTGTGCTTTTTCGAAACACTCTAGCATCGTGAGACGAGCCAGGCCAACCGGCAAAAACATCTATGAAGATTTGGTCTGCATTTACGATTCCCTGAAATAAACATTTCATTATAAAAATTATTTTAATTCATAAGAGGAATGGGAAAATTTGGATAGAAAACCAATATTATGTTAAATGTATTTAAATGCATTTTTTTTATTTATAAAAATTTATAAAAACCTGAAGCAATACTGATGGAACTTGTTTACGGTTGTAAAACATATTCCTATCTAATTTTGGCATCACACTTCTCTTCTCCCAAGGTGCTAATATGGCAATATGGCAGCCATCAACAGCTCCAATAACATTTGGAAAAGAAGTTTGCCTTAAGGCATGGAATTTTTCCATAGTTTCTATTGCCCTTTGACCGCTTGGCCATTTTATAAAAACTCTATTAAGGGTATTTAATTGTAGCAAACAATTTATAATAATCCCATGACTGGTGCTATCAGATAGATTAAATCGATTTGCTATTTGTCTAAAAATAAATAATTTAACTTCTTATTTCATTAATTTAATCTTTTTAGATGTGTTCATTTATACTAACCGATGTGTTTCACAATTAGCCATATACCATGTAAACACCAGTATTTGTTTTTCAATGGAACACTTGAACTTTGAATTTGACAATAAAGGACCCAAATTGAAAATTAAAATCTAAAAATAAAACTATACATTATAGGTACTTAGTATAACTTATAAAATAAAAATATGAATAAATTAAACAGGCATTAGTTATAATATATATATAATGTGTAACCTCAATACTCTCTCTTGTCAAACGAAAATGAATTTTGAAGTCCTTGTCTGTCATGTCCAATACAGTTACTTCGGTAAAGTTTTTTATTTTACTTCTAACTTGTCTCTCAAATCTAATAAACACATTCATCTCATCGCCGTCATCGTTGTCATCATTTAAAGTCGATGTAATAATATCTAAAAAAAATATAACGGAGTTACTTTTAAGTACACATATATATAGAATAGGTCATTCATTTCTAAAAATATTAGTAAGTATTGAAAATAAATGTTCTAATTTGGGTCTAAACTAAAGGAAAAATATATCTTGTAAAAATACTTACCGAAAAGTGTTCTTTTATGCGTAGGAAATCCTTGTACAATGTAAGAACTAAGTTTATTTTTATTTAACAAAAAATCTTTAAGTAATTGGAGTTTTAAAGAATCCAATTCTTTATGAGTACCCATTTTAAGTAATTTAAAAAAATAAAAAACAGAAACAGAAGACTCGAATTAATAATTAATAATTTCAACCATTGATAATTTTAGAAGATTATCTAAGATTTCAACTATTTCATAGACTAATATTACTCTATGTTTCAACCATTGTAATTTGTAACATTCAAAATGCGCGGGAACGACAGCATGTGATAATTTGATTTGGAGGGGCATCCCGATCATTACAACGAATTTCTAGTGTAATCGGTATAAAATAATCAGTATCATAATAGTGAATCGGTAACCTTAAACCAGCATCGATATTACACACCGGTTTGGGGGAACGAATTTCTTGAGGCTGTCGCACCAGATCCCCTCCATATTACCATAGAACAATAATAATCTTATTATTATTACCGATATTTGGCGATACCTTTATCATTATCTATGACCACGGTCTTATAAGATAATAAAATTGATTAAAATATTATATCATATTAATTAATTAATGATAATGGTACAGAAAAATCAATCGGTTGTAATCTTAGATCATATGATCTAAGGTTGTAATAAACTGAATACTGATAATGAACTTCACCTGATTTCTGATTTCACCATAATTTTTTTCGTCAAAAATATGACAAAGTCCCCCAAAAAAAATCGCAAAAAAAAGGGTGTCCGGTAAAGTAGAAAAGTTCCGTATAATGTAATTAATAATTGAACTATACATATTATAATATATGTATAGTTAGTTTATGTTGTAAACCGTTATAAATAGACAGACAGTTTAAATTTCTTTAATAGCATAATATACCTAACAAAATAGGTAGTTGTTGAATCATTAAGTTTGTCAAAAATATTCCATTGAACTTAAAATTACATTATACCTAAGTCGTAATTTGGGATATATTTATGTATTTTATTTGATATTTCAATCAAAAATATATGTATTTAAGTTTATATTATGAAATGTGATGTAAACTTGATAATACATGAATACCAACCACTTGGAAAGCACAACATTTGTACCTACATTAAGTTTATTGGTAAGTTTTCTTAAAATGTATAAGTAGAAAAATTGTTATGATTAATACATTATTATGACGTCTTAACAGTTTTTATTTAAATTTTATTTTCAGTTAAATCAGTTTTGTTCATTCAGTTACACCACCAATAAATGTTATTCAAAGTTTGATAACACAAAATTTGTTATACTCTTAAAATTATTGGCCGACACCCATAGGCGCCAAGTACATGGGTGCCCGGGGGCTCAAGCACCCATTAAAATTATTATGGGGTGCCGGGCACCCATTAGAATATTGAAAATGTATAGAGTGTATTTATATCCAAGTTTTGACAATTTTAGCAAACGACTATTGAAATACAATTCTAGCTGTGATAAAAATTGCAATTTTGAAAACAAAAATAAATTGTATTATTTGTATTGATAATAAAATGTAAAGGCGGGTTGCCACTATACACGTTCATGTGTACTTGAGATAGTACTGTTTTTGTAACCACTAACCTACATCGTGGTAGATATTCAATCACAACCGAGGTATCCATCAACAATCTATCTATGGCTGATGAGACAAATTACAAAATTATTATTATTTTGGCTGTTCCGGTATCGTCTTGTACTTCGGAATGATCTTTTTCAGCACTTCGGAGATTAAAAACATTTTTAAGGTCTACAATGAAACAAAATCGTCTTAACGATATTTGCTTTATTGTTTGTCCGTCGTAATGAAGATATAGACATTGATAGCTAAGAGCTAACTCATTAATAAATTCAATTATAATAATAGGTAGGTACGTCAAAGCATATTTATTTTCTGAACAGTCAAATTAAATTTATTTTATTTTTTGTTTTACTTATTATTATTATTTATAAATAAGTTCCCAATTTGGTATACATTTATTTTGTTGTATAATTAATATATTTTATAATCAATGATGATCGCATATTTCAGTGTACAACATGGTATATATTATAATTTAATATTTGTATACACCAAAAAAATCCATAAGAAAATGCAAACGTTTTTGGTGAAGTAGTAGAATCATGACACCTATAGGCGAAATTTGGAGAGCCAAAATTAAAATTTTAGGGGGTTAAATTGCAACTAGCCCCACCTGAAAAGACAGTTCCATTTTTTAAATTTTACGGGAAAATTTGTCTTGACCAGTGGCTAAGCCCCCTACCCCAAAATTATGTATTTATGCCTATGTTAGTATGATACCAATGATACCAAGGCACCCATTAAGTTTTTTGAAACCTGGCGCCTATGCCGACACCAATACATCATAGCACAAACCTAATACAACTTCATATATTATTCATTTACTTATTACCATCTACTTGGACAGAACAAGATGGTTGCCTATCTACTTCATATACATACTTAAAAATATAATGTTCTCTGTTCAGAAGTACTTATAAGTTGCATGTATTCAAATTTTACATTCTGGCATAGTAATTATTTTTAAGAACTAAGTTGATCTGTATTTACTACAGATATACTTGGCCAAATGATTTGGAGATAGATATTGAAATCACATAATTTTCTATCTTCCATTACATTTTCCAAACAAGAACAATGACAAATAAAAATTTTGTTTCCCATTTACTATTTTAATAGTTGGGAGAGACTACAAAATGAATTAAGTATGTAAACATATTCTTTTACCGTTAAATAATTTTGTTATATTTATCCTTTTTTAATTTATTAGATAGTAAATACTCAACTACTCAAGTTAATTTCAAAGAAGATTAAAAATCAAGTCTGACAATCTGCATTCCAGAAAAACTTAATCCCAATAATATAGTAAACTAAAAATACCTATGTTAAATGAAAATAGTACATGCTAATGTTTTTTTTTTTAATTTTAACAAATATACAATTAAGTTAATTTAGCTAACAACATCAATCAATCATTGATACTTAAATGGATGGTAAAATGTATGTATCTAGAAAATTAAAAAAAGAATTATAAATTACTCACCTTCATTATTATACATGGTATTATTAAATATTTTATTTAAATAACTACTTTGTTATAATAATAGGTAGGTATGTCTTAATCCTATTATTTATGTATCATAAAAATATTTTTATTTAAAAGTATATTGTTTTAGTGTTTTGCAACTGAATAGTTCTTCTGTTTGATTGGTGTTGTTAGCTATTTATTACCACCACAAAGTTAAAATATTATTAGTCCCACTTTTAAATTTTACTGTATTTTTTTAAGTTAGGGGTTAAGTTGAGTTTGTTTCAATTTTTTTGAATACATGTTATGATCTTAACTCATATTCTGCATTACTGCATAGCAAATATTTTGATCTAACTGTATCATTTAATTTGGAATAGATTTATCATAGTCCTGGACTTTTAAATATTATGGTAACATTTTTGAAGGGTGTTTATCTAGCAGGTGCTCTGTCAAATTTTATAAATGTGCATTTCTTTCAAAGTAGTAATTGTAAAGTCGATCAAGTGCGCTTCTACTCCTTTATTATTTACCTATAAATTATTATAGTTATTACTTATTACATACTTCTCAATTTAAGCGAAAAACTATAATGTATTACTATTATGATAATGTAGGTATGCCTGATTTTGATAATAATAGAAATATAATTTTCATATAGTAGCACTAATCAATGGCGGTAAACTGTGTATTTTTGAATGAATTCTTATTTGATTTGATAATCCTAAATAAAAAAATATCTAGTATATCTTAGTCCGTGCCAGTCAGGGACTTATCAAGGTATACCTTAGTCATTAGTGGTAATAAGATATAATTATGTGGTGATACCATTTTAATTTTTAAATAATTATCTGTGAAATTGTGATTAAAATAAATTTGTCATACCTAATATATTTCCAGTTTTTATTTATCATTCTTTGGTAAATCGGTATGTCCAATTAGTCGATAAGTTAAGAAATGATTAGGGTTCAAAGTACAATGGTAATCTATAATTAATTGTTATTTATTTTGTCACCTTGGGTTCAACGATATCAAATTTATGATTAGCTCCTGGTCTTTACAATTATTGAAAATATTTTGAAAACCACCAATATTTTGAGGAGCTGTATCTCGCAAACGAATCATCGAAAAATAAAAATGTTAAAGCGTAAATTCACAATAAAAATGGTATTATTAATTCATGATATTTTTATTATATGTTACCATTTGAAAATCAAAAGTTGTTAGTGGTTTCACTAATAAATATAAGGGTGAAAAAAATTAAAATATTATACGGTTTTAGAAAAACATAAACCTTTTCAAAAATTCAAAAAAAGTTAATACTCTTCGAGATAATTAGTATACCCACTTAAATGGATCACCCTGTATAGGACACATTTATATTGAGTACATTTTTATACGTCGACAGCTGCATTGGTACGACCCAAGCAGTCATTTTTTGTAGATTATATAGGTACGCCGGTATATAGTATACGACACGCGTACCTACCCGCAAACTTAATATAATTTGCAAATGTCTCTGATTAAGACAAATTTCGTCAAAATTCTTACCTATAGTCGCGTTCTGGTCGGTACGTGCCACGTGGTATGTAGCTGTGTCGGCGTATTGCGTAGGAGCAGCGGTCGATCGAGGATTTCGCGGACGGCGGTGTGATACTCGAGTATACGGCAGTCGGCAATCGACAACTGACAAGTGACAAAGTTTAACTGCGAATTGAGTAATTACTAACTGACAAGTGACAACAGTGACCACGCGACTTCGAATGACGAGTGACGACAGTCGACAACGAAACAAAAAGCGGTGCCAGTTTGTGCGTGCGATCCTACTGCTTTGTCGAGTTTAACGGCGTGCGGTGTACATGGACACATGGTAATAGTAATTATTGAAAATTTGAATGATAAAATAAAAAACAGCAATATATTATCAATTGGTATAAAATGAATAATATGATTTACCGAAAGATTACCGAAAACGCGTATTATACTCAATATTTTAATTAATACACTGTAATTTATAAACATAAGTGGGGATTTCCAGC